TGCCGCATGAGCAGAGAAAGTCAATCCCTTGCTACGTGTCGGGAGAACGCAACAACCCATACTCGTCTCCCAGGCTGCCATTCAGACCACACTTCTGCCAGCGTTGACATTGATCGCATATGTGCAGAATTCAGTCAAAGTCGGAACCCCGACATGGACATATACGGTTGCGAAGGTGCTCTGGACGGCCTGATTGCCATTTACAAGGTCAGCTACAAAACTGTTGCAACACATTCTGCCCAAAAGCACTTGATCTAATCACAACTACACAGGTACATCAAAAGGTTTACGAAGCAAATGTTGTCACCCAGGTCGTAGAGAGGCACATTATTCGGGGTCTGGAGGATATTTTTTCGCCTCTGGTTGTAAGTCGATGGTCCGACTCTGAGTTGAACGAGATTGCTTCGGAGCCGGCGACTATTATGAGACAAAGGGCATTCTTAGAGGACCGAGTATCGAAGCTTGACACTTGTCACGATATTCTTCGCCAAGTGATGAAGAGGACGGTATGCTAGTAGCTTAGTTTTATAGGCGTTCTTAGTGCTCAGTTAGGAGTTCAGTTACTAATCTTCGTATCATGCCCAAAGTAGAGGAATTCCTTAAGATATACATTACATTACTTCTGACCAGTCCCATCCTTCCCCTTCTCCCCCCCTACAACAACCGCCCTATCAACCCAGCCCTCTCCCCTCAACACGCCCAACCCCTTGCGCGCAACACCGCTATTCACCGAGCGAGGCGCAATCTCATACAGCACGTTAACCGTAGCCAGACTCAGGACAAAGAGCAAGACATCTCCATTCCGGACGCCCTTCCACCAGCCCCGCTTGACACCAACCTTCCACAAAGAATCAACAGACATGCGCGAGCAGTACAAGAAATTCGACCGACCGCCCTTGCGTTCGAGATAGGACCACAGACCGCCGAGGAAGCCGCCGAGGAACCAGCGCTGCGTGGTGAGCAAGGTGCGGGGGAAGAAGTTTTGAAACAGGCAAATGGAACCCCAGCTCGTACCGATGGAACCGGAGATGAAAAGCGACATGCGCAGAACGCGCTTGGCTAGGTTGTTGAGAGAGGTGAGTGGGGAGTTGAGAAAGGCCTTGTATTTTGTGATGCTCATGACGGCGAAGAACATGGTAAAGAAGCGGGCGACTTTGGGGAATGCCTGGATCCAGTATTGGACATAGGTGCGCAAGCAAGAAGGGTCCTGTGGGTGAAGAAGTGCGCAGGATAATGACTTGATGGCAGGGTGGGCAGGCGAGGTGATTGCTGTTATTGAAGCCAAGTCCCGTGGGAGGGTTTCGCTGTTGGGAAACAGTATGGGAGAGACAAAGGGTGGCCATCGTTGTCTGGAGATTTCAGCCAGGCTGTCGACGATTTCGTACGTGTCTGGCCACTTCAGACTGCTGGGATAGTCGGCGGGCCGGGTTTGAATATACTCGGGGGAGTTGCCCATGATGTAGTTGCCAATGCCAGCGGGGAAGCAGTCACGATCAAAGACAAAAGCGTGAAGCAGTTGTCCGCAAGCGACTGGCATCAACAACCAGCTCCCAAACCAATGGGGTCTGTTCTTGAAGTAGCCAAGCTCCTCCAGGTAATTGTGCCCAAACTCTAGTGCTCGCGTGAAGATGTATATCGCCATGGTGATACGCAACTGGTCTCCAGGATAGACGGCGAGAAAGAAGCCTGCCAAACTCGACCCAATAGCTGGCGCCAGCCTGGATGTCAGTGACCTTGAGATGCGTGGGTTGCGCCGCCGAAACGACTTGGCCTCATTGCTGAGGAGGCTCTCGCGGATGCGCATGAAAACGCGACGGAGCAGTCGGTGGAAGAGGAGGATCAGGGCGAGTGAACTGCTGAAGCGCACATTGCCT